CTCCATCGCCTGGCGCTTTGAGGACAACTCATCTGTGCGCACAGCTCTCGTCCGTATCCTAGTGGACGCACTGGAGCTCGTGCCTCACTCGCAGCTCTCCCAGGCGACGTACGCGTCTCACGTGTCACTAGTCGTTGAGTTACTGAGCTCATTTACCGCTCCGACGAAGGAGCAGGCGGCTCTGGCCTTGTTGCATGCCAAGCGTCGTCTGCACCGTCGCATGAGCATCTTTAACGGTCCGCGCCCTGTCCCAGACGGTGAACTCTAGCTACAGATGTAGTTAGGATGTTCCCACAACAATACGTCTACTAGGATAGTAAACGATCGTTCGGGCGGACCTGAAGACCCCAGTTCTGCCCTTGCACCGGGACAAACTGGACCTTGTAAACTACTTATATAGGCCAACCAGTAAAATAAGAACACGCTACTAGCACGAGCAAAGCTAGCAGGTGTTTTGAATCCTCGTGGTCCCAACAGCGGAAGGGTACCAGGCACGGGTAAGCCTTTTACGAGATCACCGAGTGTTCAACACTCGGCTGGAAGAAATAAAAGGGAGGCAATTCAAGCACTCCCAGTCGTGCAAATAGGCAACAATAAGCCGTCACGTAAAACCTCCCGATAATAATCGGCCAATACACAAAGTCTCTTGGCCTTGCCGGATGAACCCTCGCTACAGAGCTTCGAGTTCACCGACAGGCATAACACACTCAAACAAGCTTGACCTGACGCTTACCTTGAAGCCGGACGTCGCTCCTGTGTGCTTGAGTGGAAATTCTGTTCTGTATTTAAGCTTACCCTTTCGGGTCTATTCCTAATAAGAAGTCCTAATCAAGTATACAAATATCAAGTGAACAATGATCCGTTATGGATCTTCTTGCATGCCAAGCGTCGTCTGCACCGTCGCATGAGCATCTTTAACGGTCCGCGCCTTGTCCCAGACGGTGAACGTGTCTTCCAAGGGTCGCTGAGTCTTCCGCGAACTCATCCCAACCGCCACTGAGGGTTCATACCGTAGATGGTCCGCTGAATGCGAATCCGGCCAGTCCATTATTAATAATAAGGACAGCCTGGATTCAGTGACATAAGGCCGTATCCGATACTTGCTGAAAACTCGGAGGTGACGCCGTCGAGTCCCTTGCACCTTGGCGTCTCCGTACATCCTGACCGAGGGTTCGTCGCTTGAACATCTTGGGCGGTGTCACGTCTTTGTCGACGGGTGATAATCCGCAACTACGGAGAAATCACTACACCACAACTGCCCCTGTCGCAATGGAAGCCACGGTACTGGTGCCCGTTGTGACATTTCTTCATTCTCCAATTCACCATCTCGCCACCGTATGTCCAAGCGCCTGAATCGAGTCGTGTCCGACGCATTTCAGCGTCTCAATCCCCGTGGACGTCGCGAACGTGAACAGATGGAGGTACGTCAGCTCATCCTTCCTTTGATTCATCGGTACCTTGCTCATCACCTCGCATTACTCGACTTGTTTCTCAGGAGGGCAAGACCGAGGGCTCGAACGCCCTTCAGTCTGCTGCACTTCCTCCGACAACGGCGTCATCGACTGGTCCTTCGGCGCTTCCTGCCCCAGACTCTTCACTCCCTGCGGTAGCTCCTGCAGCACTCCCCGTCGTCGCTGAATCCGCGGAGATGGCTCCTGCTCCTCCTCCTGCCCCAGCTGGTGGTTCCCCACCACTCACCGAAGATTCGCTGCGCGCCATGCTGGCTGAGAATACGGAGGCATCGGTCGATCACATGATGACCTCGATAATCCCGTACTTGACTGCAATGGCTCGTCACCAAGTGCAGCTCAGCGTTGCGCCTCCTCTCCACGGCGATATACACACTCAGCGTCGCCTCGAGACTGCCGTTGGTTTCGATGATGTCCTCGCTGCGATACAACCTGTTCCTGACGCGCTGTCGGCATTACCAGAACGAGTTGCCGACTTGGAGCGTCAGTTGCGGTTTGCTCAGTCCGAGGCTGCTGCCGCCGTGCGTTCGGTGGCACCCCACATCATGGCTCGTGAGAACGCGGAGACGTTCCTCAAGGCTGCAAACGCTGAGATTGAAGCCTTACACCACCACGTCAAGATTCTCCGCGAGTCGAACGCCAAGAACGACGCCATGCTCGCCACTGTTCAAGCCACTATGGAACGACACGCAGAAGACTTGAATCGTCTGCACTGCGAGGTCCAAGCTCGGGACGTTTTTATCAGCACGTTGCAGAAGAAGCTGGCTCGCGAACGCGAAGTGTACAAGTCTTCTATTGGCGCGAATACTGAGCAGACCCGGAAGCTCCACCTCCTTCTGGTAAAGCTTGCCCAGGGCAAGTATGTCGATAACGACACGCTCAAGGTCCTCGAGAGCCAGCAAGACCGTAACACTCGCCTCCTCCAAGCGAATCGTACCCTCCGTGCACACGTGAGTCTGGCAGGGATGGATCCCGAGGTACTTCGTCTGGCTGTCGAAGGTACGCTCTTAATGTTGCTCCTTCCACCGTGTGTTCAGCAACTAACGTTCGCTCACAATCCTTCGTGATAGGTCTGACTGCGGGTGAGCTGGACCTGGATGCGCTGGACTTGGATCAGGAGACGTTAGTCGCTCTGCGGCGTATTCAGTCGGCCACCGCGTCTTCGGACAATCCTCAAGCCTTTCCGGCAGCTTTGGCCAAAGCAGCTCACCAAGTGGCCCATGGGAAGTCCCATAAGCGTCTTAGACCAGGTGGCGAAGATTCAGACGACGATCCGGACGACTCTGACGAAGACAAGGCTCCAATCCCAGCGGACAAGGCCAGTGCTTGGATGGCAGCTGCCGGTCTCGGTGATGCGCCACCTGCCGATACTTCAACTCCCAAGTCGGCTCGTAGATCGCTGTTCGGTCCGAAGGCGTGGAAGAAGGCGGCCCAGAAGAAGCGCAAAAAACCCGTCCTCATTCTTCTGCTAAGTCGCCACGACGTCATATGAAGACTCAGTCCAAGTCTGTACCGTCTTCTCCAAGTTCATGGTCGCCACCTCCTACACCAGCGTCTTCCTCGACTCCCGCAGTGGTCGACCTCAGCGGCGACCAGAGTGACGTGGACATGGGGACTGCTGATCCCAGGCAGCGTCCCTTTCGGTTTCAAGAAAACTGCTACAGAGCCTTTCGGGTAAGGGACGTGAACCCTTGAGGGATCACGGACGAATGTTCCCTGTCTCTCCTGACGCGGCCTTTCGGCCCCCCGCCTTCAGGGGTCCGACACGATGGTGGGCCAGTCACCAGCTTTCACGAATTTCACCTTTCTTCAGCCCGACGATACCGTGCCTGCTTGAAGAAGG